TCTCTCTCTCTCTCTCTCTCACACACACACACACATACAATTCCATCCAATGTCGTCGTCTTTAAAGCTCCCATTTTGCAATATTCTCTTACCTCTCCAATTCTATTTTGTCCTTCTTCATGTTCAACCTCACTTGGTCGAACTCCATCCTCTCCCTTTGCACGTTTACAAAGAGCCTGTACTTCTCCACCTTCGCCTCCTTCAAACATTTCGCTTGTCACACCATCACGCGTGATCCTGTCCTTATCCCACTTGTTTCCCATCACTCGTCGGTTCCTCTTTAGCACGGTGGCGGCCTCACCATTTTTTTGTTCTTCGTCATCCCATCCAATTAATTGATTGGAGCTAGACCCATAGGGTTTTTTTCATCTTCGTATCACTTTCAATGTCCTCAAGGACGGTTTGCCACTTAGGTTTCTCATTCAATTTTATCCAGCAATTGGGCAAATTGAATGGCTTATTCTCGACTTGATGGTACAAAGCCCATTGTGCAAGATCATCGGGCTGTATTTCAGAAGATTGTCGGACGTTCTTTTTCACAGATGTTCACAATACAACTGGAACAAAGAAAGTCACCCACAGTACAGAAGCCTTGGGCATTCCATTTCATCAACTTTACTGGAACAATCTTATTACAAGGGACGGCAAAGCTAACGCCTGCTGTGACACCGTCATCTTCCAGGAACTTTAGAATCGCTACCTCCAGCATGTCGACGTGCGCAGCAGCCAACAAAGTACACGAATGACTGGCCGAAAACAAACCCATACAAATATAAGAAAGTCAAGATAGCAGATAGAGATGGATCAATTTATTGCTGACAACGAGTATATGAGCTATATTTCAGGGAACTTTAAGCTTACCAAAATGACAAACAATATCACATTGAAGATGGCAACCACCCGCCACTCTGTCTTCATGTATTGTGCAACCCCAGCTCTGGAAGCAAAAGTTTCACATAAGCACGAACATTCTAGTAAGGTTACGTATTTTGAAGGTGGGATAGGAGATGGGATAGCTTACTTGCAAGAATTACAGTCATAGCACCTGAGGGACCGATCATTTTTGTACAGTTTGCAGTCGACGTTTGTGCTCACCGGATGGTAGCTCAGATCAAAATTGGAAGCATTCAAAGCTGGATATCCACACCTGACAATGTTCAGAAAAATACGATAACCATGTTAAACTCTGATGAGAGCAACTGCACGTTCAAAATACACTGGAAGATAACAGGGGACATACTCCGCTGGTGGGCGGCAACAGCCAGACTCAATGGGAGTCAAATCAGCGAGCTTGTATTGTTTTAGAGTCTGCATGAAATCAAACGGTATTACTAAGATCGCCACAAAAGGAATGGTCACACACGGAGAAAGGACATCGCATCAGATAAAATAGGATGCGCAGAAAAGGAGAATAGACCTTATATCTTTTTGACAAGCTATTGCAATCATCCGACTTCACAAGGCAACTTCTCAGATGAGTCCATTTATCAGTGTCATTGAGCTTGATTTAAAATAAACAAATCGAGTTATACCAGCATATTGTGAATTATCTGCACTAATGAAAGAAACTTTCCAAACAAAGAGTTGGGGCATGCCTGTTTGACGAACCAAGAACTGTAGTCCTGAAGACGATACTCTTTATAGCTGTATAGAACATGAGAAATGACACCACAGAACCATATGCATGCAATGTGTTCCATTACAGAAAGAAATTTCATTCACAGTTCATGTAATGACGATCAGGCAGTACCAAACCGTTTCCGACTGTGCATATATCAACAAAACTGCATCGCAGCCACATAGTGCAACTTTTAGGACAAATAGTGATATATTACTTCGACTTATCAAATCGGCATTTCAATCGTCCTGTATTCCTAAATAGTTTTCACCCACTACCTATTTTTTTCCTAAGCATGCAAGGATGCCACATCAGCGGGTAATGCATGTTTGTCATGTCATGACCTGCCATCTCATGCATGTGGTGTGGAGAATCGATTAGAGTTGGCCCTACATATTGATTATTGGTATTTGGATTAAAAAGTGAAAAGAGGAAGTGGATAAGGCGTGACATGCAATAGATACTGAACTCATCTTTAACACAATTTATGTTTGCGGTGCAGTAACAATATTTCATAGCTACTCCCTCCGTTCCGAATTACTTGTCTTAGATTTGTCTAGATACGGAGGTATCTAGCACTAAAATGAGTCTAGATACATCCGTATCTAGACAAATCCAAGACAAGTAATTCGGAACGGAGGAAGTACATGTCTTTGAGCTTTTCCTGCAGCAAACGAGTGGGGAATCATCTAGTTGTATAAACATTAGTGACATATAGTCACATACCTGGACCCAGGGACAGCATGACCAGTTCCAGTATTTGTAATGATAAACCTGAAGAAGTACATGGCAAGGTGTGTTAACACAACTTGCAACCACTAAAGTCAGTTATGAAGTCAATTGATGATTAACCACTGAACTTGCACCAGGATTTAATTCCATCAACCAATCAGTGCACACCGCAGCTAATTTTCAAATAAAAAGTACACAATGATTGCCACCAACTGGAAAGGTTGTGCTAGTGCTATCCCAAATGAATCACAGGAACTTACGCAAGCACTGTGAAGACCATGATTGCCACCAGGACCACGAACAGCATTATTAGATACTAGATACCCACATGTCAAGGCGACAAATAACCCCAAGGATATCAAGAGAGCAGACAACATCAGCAGCACCAACCAGCACTCATGCCGCCGTAAGTTTAATAGTTTATGCATCAGATGCCACAAAAAGGATACTGTCCAAAGCAAGCAGGAAATGTTCTTCCAAGCACCCACGAATCCCGCCAGCGACCTGCAGCATCGGCACTGAACCATGTCAATTCGGAGCATGAGTACTAACGTGGTGGGAATAATAGATAAAATTCCATGGACGCATACATGAGAAAAATGACTCCTCCAAGACCCATGACAGGGATCGTCAGTGACCGTCGGCACTCGTCATTGTGGGTGCTCATCCAGAACCCAAAACCCACCACAAGTATCGCCAGTATCTGTTCAACAAAGAGCATGAGGAGCATCATGATGTGCGGATCCCTAGCTGCATGCCTTGGCATTAAATTGTAAACAAAGAGTTCCAAACGAAAGATGCCAAGAATGGTGAAGAAGCGATAAATACATGCACTGGGATAACTGGATAACGATGCGGCACAGCTCAAGCTCAACAGAGGGGCACCGCTGAGCAAAGAGACCAGATGGAACGGGAACAAATCAAATCAAGAACTGGCGAATCCATCTAGTAGTATCTAATAGTGCTCTTCACTGAAAACTTCAAGACGGGTCGGCCATCGGGAAGCAGCTAGGAAAAGGGGGGCGAGGAGAGGAAGGGAAGCTGACTGACCATGGTGAGGAAGTTGATCCACCTGATGACGAAGGTGCTGGTGCTGCTGCCGCCCATCCCGAATCAGCTGCGGACGACGCTGGCCTCCCGCCCCCGTCAGTCGATTCCGCGCGGAGCAGAGACGGACCGTCGAGTCGAGATCTGGGAGCACGCCGCCGGAGACGGCGAGGCTGGGGTCCCGGCGGCGCGGCACCTAGGTAGGTGTCAGCGTGGGAGTGGGAGTGTGTGTTGTTGATTTGTGTGGGCTTGAAGACAGCGGTCGCAGTTAAGCTTGGCACGGGCAGGTGTGGGGCCGACTGGTCAGAGGGACAGATTGATTATCAACAGTGGGCCGGCGAGGGCGGACTCGACGCCGGTTTGCTTCGCGTTCGGTGGTGAGGCCGATGAGGGGGAGAAGGGGTCTTTTCGGTCGGGTTTGAATAGCAGCCGCGGCACTTTTTGCAGTTTGGTCCTATTTTCGCGAGCTCCGTCGGGGTTTGGGGCGGTGGGGTACAACTCAACATTGGATGCTCTTCATCGAAAGAGAACCAAAACTGGGAACAGCTCCCAAATTTATGGTAAAAATCAGGAAAAGAATATGGGAATATCCTAACTTAAACATGCATGCGTGCAATCGTGATATGTGTAGTTTACATCTGAGTTTGTTTTCTATTCTCAGGGTGTAGAATGAGTTCGGATTTAAATTGCAATGCTTGTTGTTTTTTTCAAAAAACCGAACGCCAGGAATGTAACACATTAGTTTATAGAAGTAACGACTGAGAAGTCATTGATGTAGAAGTGCAAACGCTAACAACGACAAACTAGATAGACCATCATGTAGGAGAAGCTAACACCGAGGAGGGCCCACAAAAAATCTCAACTCTGGCAAGACAAAGAAGGGGACACAAACCTCAAAAGTTCCCTAACAAAGCCGTATCTAGTTGCTTCATCGGATGCAGATGGAACTAGAAGAGAGAGAAACATGCTACGACCCTTTCAAAATATGTCGCCACCACAAACAAACGCTAATTACGCCAAACTGGGTGACCGACAATCGACCTCATTCTCTGACTCATTGACATCATTGAGAGGAACAACAACATTGGTAAAGCCAAAGATCCATTATTCCCATCGCCATCGTTGCCCTAACTTCACATGTGGTGACAAACTCGAAAACTCTACGAGGCATAGTTGGGGCGCTCATATCTATGGTTACCTTATCCTCCAGCTATCGCGAGAGGCGGAGGGGTAGCCCGTGTGTTGAGGGGAGACAAGTGAGCCTTCTATGGCCTTCTGTCTAGCAAACCCTAGGAAAATGTTTAATTAAAGGGAAACAAAGCTATGTAAAATGCATCTCGCGATGATAAAATTAAAATAACTTCTAAAATAGTTTTCCTAGGAGCACCAGATACACCGCAAATTCAAGTGCCACACGAGAGTGGCTTTGACATTCCATGGTATCTAAGTTCAATTTTCTTGGGAAACATTGAGTGGTTTGACATTCCATGGTATGAAAAGAATCTAGCACAGAAACGAGGTTCGTGCTGGACGTTGGGCAGCATAAAGACATGGCCACAGGAGAACAAATGCTTAATCTTAAAGCAACATGAATTGAACCGAGAAGGTTAGTGAATTACGACAAAGAACTTTCGGGAAGGAAGGGTTCTAACAAATAAATAAATATGAAAATGTGAGACAGAAATTACATGGTAAAATAAAGGACGTTGCTTGCATTCCTGCAACTTGAGAAAGCATTTCTATCCTAGGTTTGGTTATCGTGCCCGGCGGTGGTGGTGGTTGGTTGTGCCCGGCGGTGGCTGTTTTTGCAGCGGCCGGTAGGAGTTTTGACTATGCGTGAGTCCTCTTCACCTTCCCCCTGGCAGGGGCGGCTTTGCCCGGCGACCATGGACATGCGCCCCCTCCCGTGTTCATGGTCGGTCGGCGCAGCTTCGGACTTGATGTGCCTTAGAAGCTGCGCTCTTTCCGGCTCCTTTGGCGCGCTGGTCCTCGGCGTCTCCGCACCACCACCACTACCCTGCCAGTACCTTGGTTGGTTGTCCATCTCGGTGCATCTTCGTCTCTGGCACGCTTCGGGAGTTGCGTTCCCTTCTGGCTCCTTGGACACGCCGGTGTCCCTGCTGCTCCGGTCCCGGTGGCCTGGATCTGCGCTTCCTTCCAGATCCTGACTCGTCTGGGGCTCTGGCCACCGCCGCATCATTCCACTCAGCCACGCAACCTCGCATCACCTCCACGCCCGGTGCCTCCTTCGGCGTCAGTGTGGCTCTCCTTCCCGCGGTCGCTGCTTCGGCCTATGATTGACTGCCTCGTCTCCGTTCTGCGCCTCCGATGGCTTGGGATTGCTCTTGGCCAGGGCCAAATGCGTGCATTTTATGCTGGCAGCGCCGACACCCGCGGGTGTCATTTCCCTTCCTGAAGGTGCTGCCATGGCTGTTATTCGTGCCCCTCTTCGAGCATCAGGGGAAACCCTAGGTCCGTTCTTTCGGACCGGGCGACGGCGTCCCGATGTCGTTCTCCTTCTTGAAGGCGTTGTCTTGATTTGCTCACGGCGTCCTCGGTGCTGGATTTGGAGATGTTTGGTCGTTTGGTTGTTGGTTAGATAGCTTCTCTAGTCGGCGAGTTTAGTCGTGCTCTTTGTTTTTGGGTCGAGCATCTCTTGTCTCTCCACTTCGAGCACCATGTTCACGTCTCTTGCGTTCGTGTCATGTGTTGTACCACCTCATGTACTCATTCTACCTTCTTCTATCAATGAAATGATACGCAAGCTTTGCATATTCCAGAAAATTTCTGATGTCTACTACACAGCTTTTTTCTTGTAGTCGTTGTTGGGCCTCCAAGTGCAGAGGTTTGTAGGACAGTAGCAAATTTCCCTCAAGTGGATGACCTAAGGTTTATTAATCCGTAGGAGGCGTAGGATGAAGATGGCCTCTCTCAAGCAACCCTGCAACCAAATAACAAAGAGTCTCTTGTGTCCCCAACACACCCAATACAACCATAAATTTGTATAGGTGCACTAGTTCGGCGAAGATATGTTGATACAAGTGGTATATGGATAGTAGATATAGGTTTTTGTAATCTGAAAATATAAAAACAGCAAGATAACTAATGATAAAAGTGAGCACAAACGGTATTGCAATGCTAGGAAACAAGGCCTAGGGTTCATACTTTCACTAGTGCAAGTTCTCTCAACAATAATTGAAGGAAATATGCCCTAGAGGCAATAATAAAGTTATTATTTATTTCCTTATATCATGATAAATGTTTATTATTCATGCTAGAATTGTATTAACCGGAAACATAATACATGTGTGAATACATAGACAAACAGAGTGTCACTAGTATGCCTCTACTTGACTAGCTCGTTAATCAAAGATGGTTATGTTTCCTAACCATGGACAAAGAGTTGTTATTTGATTAATGGGATCACATCATTAGGTGAATGATCTGATTGACATGACCCATTCCATTAGCTTAGCACCCGATCGTTTAGTATGTTGCTATTGCTTTCTTCATGACTTATACATGTTCCTATGACTATGAGATTATGCAACTCCCGTTTGCCGGAGGAACACTTTGTGTGCTACCAAACGTCACAACGTAAATGGGTGATTATAAAGGTGCTCTACAGGTGTCTCCAAAGGTACATGTTTTTTTTGAGGAATTGGTGACAGTGGGAGAGGCTCCCACTGACTTTGTATTACTCACAACAGAATAGTTACATTTGTGTTACAAAGGGGTTTTAGGGCCCCCCGGCCATGATTGATACAAAGCTAGCTGCCCAAACTAACAATGAAATCAGAGAGGAAAGGATGAACCTTCTCTGGACAGTTGTGGGTCACCAAACCCAGCAAATGTTTAAATCTAGCTAACCATGCCCCAAACGAATGCGGGATCCTCCTGAAATGTTGGTTGTTCCTTTCCATCCACAGGCTCCAAGCAGCAAGCAAGAAGATGTCCATGAAAAGCGGCCGACGCCAGTCTTCTCTACCACCATGCAAAATGGCAAGCCTGTTGGTCCCCCCTGGCCACATCAGACCAATCCTACTCCAGCATTGTTGGGCAAAAGGGCACGTGAAGAAGAGATGTTCCACGGTTTCCTCGGGTGGGTTTTGGCAGAGCATGCAAGTATAGTCGCCCCCATCCACATTATAGTGCCGTCGCTTCAGCATATTCCTGGTGTTCAACCGATCTACCATAAGCAGCCACCCAAACATCTTGAACTTGATCGGGCATTTGGCTTTCCATAGCCATCCAAAGGCATCATCAGCCATAACCTGTCTGAAGTAGTGGATATAGTATTTCTTAGACGAGTATCGTCCCAGGTCACAGACCCAAGTATCAACCGATCCACTGTCCAGACCGACGTGTGCGGACCTTTGCTGTATCTCTCTGATCTCTTCCCTGGCCTGGATCGAAAGAGGCAGACTGAAGATCGAGGCAGGATCAGTGGATTTGAGGATCTTGGCAACAGAATCATCCTCATTTAGGGCATATGAGAATGCCCGCGGATGCGTATCCATTAATGTGGAGGCTGGGTCTCCCAACCAGACATCCTTCCAGAAAAGTGAGGTACGACCATCTCCGGGGACTACCCTGGTGATCCCACGGAAGATTCCACTGAGCTGCATTACATCTTTCCACCAGAAGGAACCCACTGGCTCGGCGGTGTGCGGCACCTTGTTTGGGTAGTGCGTTTCCCAGATCAGCTGAACCCAGGGTACATCTTCACGATTGTAGAATTTGAACAGGTATTTAAGGAGAAGCGCGGTATTTTGTATTCTGACATTAATAACACCAAGGCCACCACACCGTTTCGGCCGACAGACAAGCTCCCATGCAGCAAGGGAGTTGGATTTGATCCCATCATCAGAATTTTTTGCCCATAGACAATAGCGGCGGAGTTTGTCCAGATGTTCAACTATTTTTGGGTGTAGCTTGATCGTACACATTGCATATATCAACATGGAGGTGACCACCGAATTGACCAACGTTAGTTTGGCCCCTGACGACATCAGTGTTAGGGCAGTGGAGGTTTTCCTCTCAACCGAATGGACTAATGG